CCTGGACCCAGTGGCTTGAAACTCACGCCGGGCGCGTGTGCGTGCGTGCCCAAGATCCCAAGAGGAGAATGGAGGATAAGGGATTGCGGCGTGACCATCCCCCCTGGGGGGTGATTTCTCGCTTTCTGTCTCTATGTCTCTCTCTGTCTGTCTGGCGAGTGCATGCGCCCTATAGTGAAAACCTCTCAAAAAAAAAAAAAAAAACTATACATGGATTTCAAAAATTTTGGCACTAAAATAAACTGGCACTTGAATCATTTTTTTCCCCATGAACTTTCCGAAGTTCCCTTGGAAAATTGTGAGATAATGAAGGTACAAGCCTCTCTATAGTGTAACTGCGATAACCCACCCAAAAACCACTTCCAAGAAAGTTCTGAAATTGCACACGCACGCACACACACACACACACACACACACATGAAACCCGTCCTTATTACACTGAGAAGAGATATCTTTCAAAAATACCTAATTCCCCTGTTTCATGTAAAGAAGAAGTAGCTTCAGTAACAATTTTCTGGAAATGGAAGTGAAAGAGCAATTTCGAGAGATGAAGCTGTGTCTAAGCCTTGCCCTTCCGAGATAAAGGGAGTTCGGGAAATCGAGGAGAAAGATGCTGAGATCACCTCGAACTTTGCTCTGGGCAGGGGTTTCAGCCTTTTCTGGACCATCATGAGGCTGAGGCTTAGCTACATCAGAGAATGTTCCCCAAAGTAGAGTGAGCCACTGTCTGCTGTCACAAGACCATTGGGACACACAAAGTACTGTGAGTATACTGCAAATGACCTTCTCGCTGGCTGATCTGGCCTTCCTGGGGAGGTGAGTGACTGGAAGGTCAAAGCCCGCACTGTGGCAGTACTGTTCTCAGGGCAGAGGGGACTGCTCTAAACAATGGCAGTGAGACTGCAAGCACAGCTGAGTGTTGGTGGCATCTCGTGCGTTAGGCTCATGGCCACAGTCATTCATGAGGTTTTCATTGCAACTGCCTTTCAGCGCAAGAGGTCCCCTCTAGAAAAGCAGCTTTCACCCACGCCAGAAGGAGAAGTAGAAAGGATGACCTGAGGTTATTTAAACAAACTGAATTGTCCTTAGACCGCTCAAGGGGCTATTGGTAATCACTATTTTCTGCCAACCAGAAAATAACTAAATTCCAACTGAACTGGAACACAATTACTGAATCTTTGTGTATTTATACTTAGAATTCAGCATTGTGAGAAAGAGAACAGCTTTTCTCTAAGAGAGGCATTTGACTTCCCCAATTCATCCAATGGGAAATGCAGTTAGTCCAGAGGCATCTTGCACTAATGTCCCGGGACTGAAGTCTAGGGAAGGGAAGGCTGCTTTTTCCACAGCAGTCTACTAGGCAGGGTTATTACTGCTATAAATAACACTTACCATTTGCCGTGAAGCAGAGCCATATGGACTTCTAAGCCCTAATCTTTTTCCTCTACTTCCATCACCTACTGCTGTCAGCAGTCTGCTTCCTGATAGGTAAATTGAGGCAGGAAAAGAAAAAAAACATATCCCAATTCTTTCTTGGCAAAACAGTGTTTTGACAAACACTGGATGATGCGAGGTAGAAAATGATTGAAACAAAGCTTAGGTATCATCCACAGGTGCAGCTGTCCACCCGTGTACCCAGTCCCTCTCCCCTCCCAACAAGCTTCCTTATTTTCATGTGATGTCCCATACATATGCCATGAACATGCTAAAATGTGGAACTATTGCCTAGGTTAGATCAATCAGGAGTAGGATGACACAAAAGAAACATGCTGTCCATGATCGCGGTAAAGAAGAGATAGTCTTTAATGAAACTGGCACATCCATCCTCCCGTGGAGGTTCTGTGTCACTGGAGGCACCAGTGTCACCTGCGCTCTCTTCCCTTTCCTGGTGGGAAGGACCTGTCTGGAAGCTGCCCATCCAACCACACGCAGGCATCAGTACTCAGGGAAGTCCCCTACTTCAGACTTGGGTCTAGTGCTTCTCCCACAGCAGTGACCTGCAGACTTCACAGACATCAAACACTTGTCCCTGTTAGATTGGACTGGAGTTACGTCTAACAAAGTCATTGGAAGGGCACTGCCTGGTACTTAGGGAGGCAGTCACCACTCGCACATGGACCCCCCTCTGCCTTTTGTCTGCTATTGTAAAATGAAGCTACTACGTACACTAGAGAGTCCTTGCTGAACTAAAGAGCATCTCACCGGCCTTAGAGTATATGGCAGGAGCCCCGTGACCTGTCAATGCATCTTCCCTCCCTTCCCCCTTCAGTATTCAAAATCAACACCATCGACAATTCTGACATACACCCTCAGTGGGCAAGGACATCTTCCTAGAGAGTGGCAGGAGCCAGCTGCAGAGCTGAATGGCTGGTCTTTGTAGGCCAGCATGGGTCAGCAGTACATGCTAATGGAAATAGGCAGATATGAAGGTTACTTATGTCAATAAACTCAATTTCATTATTCACAGAAGACTAGTTTTTTGTTTTGTTTTTAGATAGAGGTTTTTGCTATAGGGCACGTGCGCTCTCCAGAAAGACAGAGAGAGACAGAGAGACAAAAAGCAAGAAATCACCCACCCCCTCCCCAGGGGGGGATGGCCACGCTGCAGTCCCTTCTCCTCCATTCTCTTCTCAGGATCTTGGGCACACACGCACACGCGCCCGGCATGAGTTTATGCCACAGGGTCTGGTACTTGAACTGTGGTCAACTACATGGGAGTCCAGCAACATAGCCATTATGCCAACTGCTGGTCCCAACAGAAGATTAATTTTTTAAAAAATTATTTTTTATATATCCAATCACTGTATATCATTGCAGTTTGCAAAATGAATTTTTCCAACATGAATACACTATATATTAGTCCAGCTAAAGATATCACACATGTTATCATCAACAGATAATTTTCCATTTTGTATCCCTTAAATATTTTGCTTCTAAATTACACCACTGGTATCCTGGATCTCTAGCTTAGAGATGACAGATCATGGACTTCTGAACCTCCATAATTGCCAGAGCCAATTCCTCATTAAAAACTAAAACAAAAACAACAACAACAAATGCTTCCTTCCTTTCTTCCTTTTTTTTCTTTCCTATTTATTTATTTTGAGAAAAAGAGAGGGGAAAGACAAGAATCCCAACAGGGTCTTACCACACCAGGGTTCTCCCTCTAGTCCTCTTGGTCAGCCATGATCAGGGGCATCCTGACATGCCTGGGCCTTCCAATGGCTCCAGGATTGTGCCGTGGCACCCTACTGTAGCTGGGTCTATACACACATATTCTATTAGCTTTGATTCTCTGGAGAACCCTGGACTAATGCACAAGCCCAGATCAAATACCACCTTTGCTAGCAGAGGCCACCTGCTGTGGTCCCAACCATGCTGAGCATGCCAAAGGCAAGGCCTACCCGTCCTCTGACCTGAGCTCTGGGCTGGTCACACTGGCAATGAAGTACGTCAGGGTGGCTGCAGCACGACTACCATGCAGCTGCACAGAGGATGGCTTGTTTGCTGCTCACGACACAAGGTGCTGAGCCCTTGGACCTGGGACCTCAGCTGCATCACCCACTATTGGGGCCCATCACATCGCCCAGCTGGACTCAGAGGCAGGGGACCTGTGCCACCTGGTTCCCATGCTCTGGTGTATACTAGGCCATGAGTGTCAAACTGCCTTGCTCTGGTCCACTGAGTCTCACATCTGACCTGTGAGCTATGCCAGCTTGGCCAGCTTCTTAGAGCTCTCCTTTGAAGTCTGTGTGCCTCTTGCCTCCCCTGTGAGATGAGTCCTTCCTTGACAATCTTTAGAAAAGAATCCCCTGAATTTCCAAGGCTATGGATTTCTAAACTGCTGAGCCCTGTAGCTGTCTGACCTCATGCTATGATTACCTGGAGGGTCCACACTGTCTTCTTATTAGAGCTTAGATTCAGATGCTAATGGAGAATGAGTTTTACACTGATTGACTGATGAATGAATGAATGAATGAATGAGGGAGTAAGCAAGGAAAGCCCCAAACGACTGCTTATAATTTTATAACCATTCGGTCACTTCTACCTTTTCTTTTTTCTTTCTTTTTAAAATTTATTTTGTATTAATTTGCTATAGGGTATGTGCCTTGCCAGACAAAGATAGAGAGAAAGGGAGGGAGAAGATAAGAAAGTACCCTCCTCTCAATCCCCCTGTGGAGTGATCATATCATAGTCCTTTCTCCTCTACTCTCCCCTCAGGATTTTGGGCATAAGTGCCTGGCATGTTTTTCAAGCCATTGGGTCCAGGACTCAAACTGCATAGTTGGACATGTGGGATTCATCTGTCTTAACCACTATGCTACCTAGCTGGCCCACCTCTAACTGGCCCACCTCTAACTTCTTTTTTTTAAGTGAGAGATTTTTTTTTTTTTTTGCTGTAGGGCATGTGTGCTCACCAGAAAGACAGAGAGAGACAGAGAGACAGAAAGTGAGAAATCACCTCCTGCCCAGGGGTGATGGCCATGCTGTAATCCTTTCTCCTCCATTCTCTTCTTGGGATTTTAGACACATACACACATGCACCTGGCATGAGTTTTAAGTCACTGGATCCAGGACTCAAACCGCGGTCAGTCATGTAGGAGTCCAGCAACATAACCACTACATCTGTTATTCTCCCACCTCTAACTTTTACTACACTGTTTATGTCTCACTGAAAGCTAGGACATAAACTTGCCTTGTCTAAAAACTCTAATTTTTTTTAGAATTATTTCATTTAACTTTATTTATTTTATTTATTTAATTTGACCAGAGAGGAATAAAATGAGAGAAAGAGAGAAAGGGGAAGTGAGAAAGCAAACCACCAGGTCTGGGATTTGAACCTTGGCTGGCCATGTTGGAGTCCAGTGTCCTTAACCACCGTGCCACCTATTGGTCCCCATACCAGATCTTTTCACTAATAAAATGAAGGCTTCTAAAACAGAATTGAATTAGCAGGTCAAAAGGAGACAAATGATTGTACTCTCAGGGTTCAGACTTACAGAAGTCCCTGCACTCTGCCACACGTGAGATATCTGGTAGCCCACTAGTTCCCCATCCTGCCGCTGAACTGGAGGCTTCATCCATCTGATGTCCACGCTATTACTGGATTCATTCAGGAACACAGTGACGTTTAAAGGTGCTACTGATGGGGCTATGGAAGGAAAGGGAGAGAAAGATGAAGAGCCACAAATAAAAACACATGTATATTCATTTTCTTCTTGGCCTTCAATTGTTCCATTTTCAAATGTTCTACAAATTCACTCAAATTAGTCCCTGGTCACTGACTCCCTATTAAAAAAAACTACTCAAAACTTCGGGTGCGGCTACAGTTCTGACTCTCAGCCCCCGAGCCTCAGGCTGTAGGCGTTGGGCAACTAATAAAGACTCCCTTTAACCTAAATCAAAAAAAAAAAAAAAAAAAAAAAAAAAAATCACTCAAATTAGATCAAGACTAACAGTAGATTTTCACCCTTTTTTCAATTAAGGACCCTCGAGATACCATGTGAGCTTTAACAAATAAGCTCTTTTAGGCTACAAAATCCTAAAGATTCATTTCTTTCTCTCTTTTATTATTTTTTTTTAAGAGGTTTTTACCTTTAGGTGTGTGCACTTGCTGGAGGGAGAGCGAGACAGATAGTGAGAGGGGAAGTGAGAAATCACCCTCCAGGAGGGATGGCCATGCTGTAATCCTTTCTCCTCCATTTTCTTCCCGGGATCTTGGGCATGCATGCACGCATGCTCAGTGTGAGCTTCAAGTCACTGGGGCCAGAACTCAGTGGTCAGCCAAGTGGGAGTCTAGAAACGTAACCGCTACTCTGTCTGCTGGCCCCAAGCAACAAGATTCATTTCTTAAGTTGAAAATGTCACAAGTACCGTAGGTAAACTAGCAAAGAGAAGAAGGCAGGAAGGAGATAGCTGGTGCTTAGGGACTCCACTAGGGGAAGCAAAGCAGACACAACTGAACAGTGTTCTCCAGTGGCCACCTGTGGGCAGAAGGTCGTCAAGGCTGTCTGCAGAGCCTTGTGTCATTACAGATGTGCAAGGCAGGAAATGCTGCTCAGCCTGGAATGAAGCCAGCATTTTACATTCAAGAAGCAGGTTACTGATGGTCTGACCGGAACCAATCAGTCACTCGATTTAAAAATGTGTGTGGAGGGGATCAACAGGTGGCATGGTGGTTAAGGTGCTGGACTCCCACATGGCTGACTGTGGTTCGAGTCCCAGACCTGGTGGCTTGATTCTCATTTTTCCTTTCTCTTTGTCTCTCTCTTGTCAAATTAAAATGTGTGTGTGTGTGTGGGCCTAAAATCCCAAGAGGAGAATGAAAGAGAAGGAATTGAGACATGGCCACCCTGCCGGAGGTGGGTGATTTACAGCTTTCTGTCTCTGTCTCTCTGGTGAGTGCATATGCCCTATAGAAAAATCTCTCTCTAAAAAATAATAATAATTAGCAAATAAAATAAATAACTTTTAAAAATGCCTTGGAGGTTCCAGCAGATGGCATGGTGATTAAGGTGCTGGACACTCCCATATGGCCAACCACGGTTTGAGTCCCGGACCTGGTGGTTACTTTCTCACTTTCTTTCTCTCTATGTGTCTGTCTTTCTCTGGTCACATGAAAACGATTGAATAAATAAATAAAATTACATAAAAAATTCTCTTAAAAAAATGCATTGGCGGAGGCAGCAGGACGCTTAGTGATTATGGCACTGAATTCCCACATGGTCAACTGTGGTTTGAGTCTCAGACCCAGCAGCTTGAAAATCACGCTGGGCATGTGCGTGTGTGTGCCCAAAGTCCCAGGAGGAGAATGGAGACTAGGGATTGCAGCATGACTGTCCCCCTTGGGAGGTGATTTCTTACTTTTCTTCTCACTGTCTCTTTCTCTCTCTCTGGCGAGTGCACATGCCTTACAGCAAAAAGAAAAGAAAAAAAGTATGTGTTTAATCTGGGAAGCAAATCCAGATCATTATCATGGTCTTTTTTGAGAAAGAGAAACTTACTATATATTAAAATTAAAAATAATATGCTTTTTTTAAATCGAGTACTTTATGTAGTCCCAAGAATTTAATCTGTAGGAGGTATTATATTCATTACTGTATAATGACAAAAAGCAGTAAACATTCTGCTTATTTTATTTAACTTTAATGAATGAATTAATTTTTTTTCTTTTTTTGGCGAGGTTTTTGCTATAGGGCGTATGCACTTGCCAGAAAGACAGAGAGAGACAGAGAGACAGAAAGTGAGAAATCATCCCCTAGGGGGGATGGCCATGCCTCAATCCCTTCTCCATTCTCCTCTCAGGATCTTGGGCATGCACGCACATGTGCCTGGCGTGAGTTTAATCCAACGGGTCCGGGACTCGAACCATGGTCAACTACATGGGAGTCCAGTGACATAGCCATTATGCTAACTGCTGGTCCCGAATTAATTAATTTTTAATTTGACCAGAGAGGGACAGAGTGAAAAAGAGAGAGAGAAAGTGAGAAAGCAAGTCGAAAAGTCAGGGACTTGAATCGTGGTTGGCCATGTGGTGATGTGGGAGTCCAGTGCCCTTAACCACCATGCCACCTGCCAGCCCCAATAATTATACAACTTTTGATACATTTTCAAATGGAATACTTTCAACTGGCAACTTAAAATGGTCAGGCATGTCATGTATACTGATGAAAAGATATCCAAAGGAGGAAAAATCAAATTGCAAAAAAAGAAAGTTTTGATCCGTTTTAGAAATGTTTTTAAAAATATTGTGTAAAGAGAAGAAATAAAAACGATTGAGATAATATACACCATGCTGTTGCCTGTAGTTGTACTGAGCTGTAATTTATATATTTTATATATCAATATTTCTGATATATCTGAAAGGAAAATAGAACGGTACTGTAACCCTCTTTATCCCTGATGTTCCTGATGTTTAAAGAGCACTAAGCATGAAGTTAACATAAATTTCAGCTCAGAAAGTCCCTACGGTTAAAGCTCTGTCTATTAAATCCGTCATACACTTTCAAATCTGTTGTATAACGTATGAACATGGCTGATCCAACTTGTCTTCATGCCTATCTCCTCCTAAAACTCCTCTATAATAACAATAAGAAATTTAAAAATGTATAAACTTACAAGGCAGAGGAGTAAATAGTAGAAGACAAATTTCAACACATATGAGTAATTAAAAGCTGAAAAATAATTAATTAATTTAACAAGTGGGTTTTCCCCCAGGTAACCATGAAGAGATTCAGAAACTGTGGGCCCAGGGCCTAAAACTGGGAAGATTGATTGAAAGTTTGATTATGAAGTGGTTGTGCCTCGATGTTAAAATACAACACTCTTTGAGACCAGCAGTTGGCATAATGGCTATGTCACTGGAATCCCATGTAGTCAACATGGTTCAAGTCCTGGACCCGGCGGCTTAAACTCACGATGGGTGCGTGTGCGTGCTTGCCCAAGATCCCGAGAGGAGAAAGGATTGCGGCAAGACCAACCCTCTGGGGGGTGATTTCTTGCTTTCTGTCTCTCTGTCTTGCTGCTGGACATCCATGTAGTTGACCATGGTTCGAGTCCCAGACCCAGAGACTTAAAACTCACGCCAGTGTGTGTGTGTGTGTGTGTGTGTGTGTGTGTGTCCAAGATCCTAAGTGAAGAATGGAGGAGAAGGTACTGTGGTATGGCCATCCTCCCTGGGTATGATTTCTTGCTTTCTGTTTCTCTGTCTCTCTCTGTCTCTCTAGTGAGCGTACGTGCCCTATAGCAAAAGTCTATCAAAAAAAAAAAAAAAGGAAAAAGAAAAAAAGAAAAGAAAAAGAAAGAAAGAAAAGAAAAAGAGAAAAAGAAAAAGAAAAGACTTGATCCACAGAGGAAGGCTCCAGGTTCACATCTGGAGGCCTCCCTGAGTACACCGAGCATGCAAAGTAATCTCTGACTTACATCAATGTCTCTGATTATAGACACTGAGAATCCTATGTTGTTGGATGCTAGATAGTCTTCCCCTGAAAGTGGTAAGCTTTGTATTGGAATGTGGTTAAGCTGGTGGGAAACAATTTAATCCTTTTGGGTCTTGGTTTTAAGATGTTTTAGGTTGGACCACAGCACTGTTCCATCTGGGGTCAATTATTACCCACTAAGACAACACCATTCTGTACTCGGCTCTATGCAATACTCATTAAATCATTAGATTTTCTAGTCTGATAGATAAATCTAAAAATGATAGCCACAGATTTCAATATCTTTCTCTAAAAAATTGAGAGAACAGGGCCAGCAGTTGGCACTGGACTTCGAAGTTGTCAACTGCAGTTTGATCCCAGACTCGGCAGCTTAAAACTCACACTAGGTGCAGGTATGTGTGTGCCCAAAATCCCAGGAAAAGAATGGAGGAGAAGGGATTGTGGCATAACCATACCCCCAGGGAATGATTTCTCGCTTTCTTTGTCTTTGTGTGTCTCTGGCATGGGTATGTGCTTTATAGCAAAAATCTCTAAAAACAAACAAAAAAAAATTGAGAGAACAGAGAAAATCAGTAAGAATATGCTTGAAAAAAATGATTAGCCTACTCAACCTACTTGGCATGTACAGAATACCCCACCCAACAAGGGGAGGACACCTAGCTCTTCAAGTACACATGAAATGTTTACCAAGGTCACCATATATTGGGCCATAAAATAAATCTCAGTAAATTTCAAAGAGGTAAAGTCATACAAATTATGTTTCCTGGCCCCAATCAAATTAAATTAATAATCAATAATATAAGGATCTCGAGAAAAGCTCAAAATACTTGGAAACCAAGATGTATACCTAAATAACTAATGAGACAATGAAGTCAAAACAGAAATTTGCCCAAAGTATTTTGAACTGAATTCAAACAGAAGCATAGCATGTCAAAATTGTTTATAAAGGCTATACTTTTTTCACTTGAAGCCATTTTAATATTTTGGCACTACAATCTATATGAGGATTAAACCCTCAAAATCTCAGATTCAGACCTGTCTTACTGTCTGTATTAAGATTTTTAGCACTGGGGCCAGCAGGTGGTATAGTGGTTGAGACAATGGACTCCCACATGGCAGAATGTGGTTCAAGTCCTGGACCCGGTGGCTTGAAACTCATGCTGAGCATGTGTGCGTGCGTGCGCAAAATCCCAAGAAGAGAATGGAAGAGAAGGGAATGTGGTGTGGCCATCCCCCCGGGGGTGATTTCTTACTTTCTCTGTCTCTGTCTCTGGTGAGCACACATGCTCTATGCCAAAAATCTCTCCAAAACAAACAAACAAACAAACAAACAAAAACACAAAGATTGCAGCAGGGACTGCATGAGGGTGAAGAAAAGGAGAGAGAGTCTGAGAGAGTTTGAAGTCTAGTCTGGGAAGTATGGAAACTGCAATTTAAAGTTAACAGAGCTATTGATAGTCATCCCAACAGGCACTGAAAAAGGAGAAAAATTCTGAAATTAAAAGCAAAACTCATAAAAGTCTTCAAAGTTTAAAGATGTAAACAAAACTTGCTTTGTTAAAAATAATACAGAGTAATAATACAGTAGTAGTTCCTACTCTGTAGGGTTTCTATAAAGAACTAATGTAATAATGTATGTAAAGTACCTACTATGGTCTGTGGCACACAGTGGGTGCTTGGTCCTCACATCATTAGTTGTCTTGAGTTCGATGCTATGAGTAATAACTTATGTATTATTGTATCTTAATTAAAAATCACACATTTTTTAAACTGTGCTATCATCTTCCTACATAAAAGAAAACATCTACACAAGTAAGTCTGTTTTCTCATTAGACCCTTTAAAAGTATATTAGAAAAAAAGTCTTCATTCCCACGTTAACTGGCCATTTCGATTAAGTTCTCCAGAGACAAAGTGTGAAGGAAGCAAGGTTTACACTTGAATCAGGCCACTAGGAAGTATCTGTTTAGTCATATTCTATGGGGGGAGGGGAGGTGTGCAAAAGTCATTCGGAACTCCAGGAATTACCTCCTTCAGTGGTGCTGGCCTGAATCCAAGGGCTCACTGTGGACCAGCCTATTTCATTCATGCAGGACACGGCAATGCTGTAATCAGCCAGGGCTTGCAGCTGCTCAATTTGATACAGATGTGGTGAAGCAGAGGTGTTAAAAATCATGACGGAGCCATTACTCAGCGGATCAGTTTCCTTGACCTAAACCAAGAGTAGAGATGTGGACCAGGCATTAGTAAGCGGGTGGGAATGTCAGATACCAGCACGCAGGCATTTGGTGCACGGGGCCCTTCCTCCACATCAGGGGAAGGACCTGCTTCCTTCCAGGGCTCTTGCGTTTCCCATCAGCATGCTGCGTGTTACTCATGCTACTGATCAATGATCGAGGACGCAAGGAAAATGCCTACAACAGGGAATCCTGTTGCAGTAGGAAACAGAGCAAATATTATCATTGTAATTATTGTCATTACCAATACTACAATCCATATTATACCATACGATAAAAGTAGCCCCTCCTCTCTCAGAACTACCTCAGCTCTAGATTTCTTCTTTTAGCTGTCTCACAGAATATACAACAGAGACAATAGACATTGTATGTGACTGGCATAACCTAAAATATTGGGTCATTGGAAAAGTCATTATACATTTTTCTATGCAAAAATCCATCATGACTTTTTAATTTTTTTGGAGAGGATTTTTTTTTTTTTTTTTTTTTTTTTTTTTTTTTATTTGGAGAGGATTTTTTTTTTTTTTTTTTTTTTTTTTTGCTATAGCGGGTGCGTGTGCTCGCCAGACAGAACAAGAGAGAGAGACAGAGAGACAGAAAGCGAGAAATCACCCCCCACGGGGGATGGCTATGCCACAATCCCTTCTCCTCCATTCTCCTCTTGGGATCTTGGGCACGCATGCACACGCACCCGGTGTGAGTTTTAAGCCACCAGGTCCGGGACGCAAATCGCGGTCGACTACATGGGAGTCCAGCAACATAGCCATTACGCTAACTGCTGGTCCCCATCATGACTTTTCTGATGACCCAGTATTTACCATCTGGTCCTTTAAGGAAAATATTTTCCAAATCGTAATTTCAAAGATGGGCTTTTTGTTTTGTATGAGGATGGAGATAAGGGCAGGAGAGAGAATTTCTATTTATCTCTTATATGAGAGAGCTAGGAAGAGACAGGTATCCCAACCATGCCAAACCTCAGCCAGTCAGGGTCATAGGCACATAGACCCAGCATGTACAGGGAGGCCTTGGGGTGTGAACCTGGGACCTTCCCATGTGGCCTCACCACTACAGAGTCATGTCACCACTGAACCACTATGGCTGACTTTAAAAAAAAAAATCTGTATTTCTTTTATTATGTAACATGAAGTTCCCTATTCTTGCCTTGAGGCTTATTTAATTATTCCTAACCCTGTCCACTCCAACAGAAATTCAATTCAAAAGGCATACACAGATAATATAGATTTTTTTTGGCATCTTTTTTCCCCTCGTGGAGAGAGATAAGAATGGATATTTGGATTTCACCCAACAAACTCTTCTCCAAATTTCCTTTAAACATATCTCCTCACCGTTCCCTCCATGAATTGCACTAGTTTCTCTATATCCTCACATATACAGTCTTATTAGTAATGGCTTTGCAATGATGGGTGTAGACATATTAATATGTGGCGTGTGGGCTGTTCTTTCATGGTAGGTATTTTTAAAGTTTAGGCAAAGGGGCCATAAATAAACATCCCGGAATTCCAAATCCCTTGGCGGATATCACGAGGCTGGTGTAGGGTCTGGGTTTCACCTCTGACTCAGACCCCATGGAGGACAAAGAGGTACCAGGTGGCCTGAGAAGCCACTAGGGGAGAAACTAAAAGCATGTGCTTATCTTGGTGCTGGCTGTTGGCAAAAATTACTTTTTGTTTTTTCACTTTAGAGTATGCACCTACTTCCTGGTGACCAACCTCTAACACTAAGGTGGAGGAAACCTGTGGCTCCCCGCCCCCACTCTATTTCCGGAGCTCCGTGTGGAACATTCCCAGGATCAGGGACACACTTTGAGAACACATTACTGGAAGAAAACGGGGTTTCTATAACCGTCTGCCTCAGTGGGTCCTAGGGGAAAAGAGAACATGAAATGACAAGACGTTTGTGGGAGAGTTAAAAATAGAAATCAAGTACATGGCCCAAAAATGGGTGAAGAAAGGAACTAATGTCAGGACCAAAGGAAGTGAGAGGGTGTGTCCTGCTAGTGCGTGGATCTGAATGTGGTCCAAAACATTCATTTGCAACCAAGTCAGAGTTTAAAATTGTAATGAACTACAAAACCATACTTGGTCCCTTCGGGAAAGGGAATATGCCGTTAATCCACACTAGATAAAAGTAAAACTGCTAGAGCCTCAGCTGACCAACTAGGGCTACCAGACAAAATAAAAGATTCCCATTTAATTGTGAATTTCAGGTACCTGTGTGATTTAAGTGGGTATCCTGCAGTCTGTATTTGCTAAACCAGGCAAGTCTGCCAGAGAGAGAGAGGAGAGTGGATGAAGGGAGGCTGGGCTGGCCCCTCTTGGGCTGGTAGGCAAGGACGGAATAACCATATCCAGCACTATAGGGTCCAAGGTGGGCAACCTAGAATTTGGTTGTCCCAGAGTGACTTTTCACATGTGCCATAGCCACTCAAAGTCATGGCCAAGAGAAAGAGCAGATGAAGATTACGTGTGATCATCTTCCACCTGCAGGATGGCCTCGTATATTCAGACTTTCCACTGTCTGACCCATCTTAGTGGCACCTGCTCTCTCAAAGTAGGGTGGTACTCTTCCTTAGGGTCTCCCTGAAGGCAACCATCCTCACATGGGAAGACTCTTCAAATAATTTGGTAACTTGGTATCAGTTTTAAAAAGGGTTGGTCCATGCTTCAGTCATGGCCATATATATATATATAAATATCTATTTCCAGGGAACTAGGCCCAGAGCCCTGAAATAAACAAAAATTGATAAGACTGAAAGGAGACTAGAAAATTTATTATTTTTTTAAGAATTATTTAATTTAATTTAATTTATTTATTTATTTTTAATATGACCAGAGAGGGACAGAGAGAGAGAGAGAGAAAGAAAGAGAGAGAAAGAGAGAGAGAGAGAAAGTGAGGAAGCCAGCTGGCAGGCCTGGGACTTGAACTGCCATCAGTCATGTGGGAGTCCAACACTTTTAACCACCATGCCACCTGCCAGACCCTGAGACTAGACAATTTAAAAATAAGAGTTGAGACCTCAAATTTACACATTTGATAATAGATGGACTCACTAGGCAGAAGACTGAACAGGATTATAAATCAATCAAACCTACCGACAAATACAGAATATTTAATAGCCAAACATACATTCTTCTCCAGTGCACATGAAATGTTCTCTGGGGTAGAATGTAGGCCATAAAATAAGCTTTAATGGAGCAGCATATGGCATAATGGTTATGCCATATGTAGTCGGCTATGGTTCGAGATCCTGACCCAGTGGCTAAAGGCTCAAGCCAGGACCGGGTGTGTATGTGCCCAAAATTCTGAGAGAAAAATAGAGGAAAACAAATTGCAGTGTGCCCATCCTCCCTGGGGGGTAATTTCTCACTTCCTGTCTCTCTGTCTCTCTCTGTCTCTACAGTGAGCACACATGCCCTGTAGCAAAAACCTTTCTAAAATAAATAAATAAATTTTAAAAATTTTAATTAAAAAAAATAAAATAAGCATTAATAAATGTAAAAGGATGGAGCTGGCAGGTGGTGTGGTGGTTAGGGTGCTGGACTCCCACATGGCTGACTCCGTTTGAGTCCCAGGCATGGTGGCTTGCTTTCTCACTTTTCCTTTCTCTCTCTCTCTCTGGCTCTGTGTAGTCAACTTAAAAACAAACAAACAAACAAACAAAAAACAAAAAAACCCAGGGACCAGCAGTTAGCATAATGACTATGTTGCTGGACTCCCATGTAGTTGACCACGGTTCAAGTCCCAGACCCAGTGGCTTAGACTCACGCCGGGCGCATGTGCAGGCATACCCAAGATCCTGAGAGGAGAATGGAGGAGAAGGGATTGCGGCATGGCCACCCCCCCCCCGGGGGTGGT